GCCAAAAAGACACCGAGAGCCCCCCAAGAAACCAGCCGAGAACGCAGAGAGGGGTCCCACGGAGCCGCTGCCTCCCCGGGGCTCCCCCCGGCTGGGTCCCGTGCTCTGGGACAGCCCGGGTCTCAACCCCTTCGGTGCCAGCTCAGCGCTGCAGAACTCTCCGACTCTCCCCAAGGGCTCTTACCAGTTTGACCCCGATAACTTTGACTCCGTGGATCCCTTTAAGCCCACCAAGACCCTCGCCAGCTCCGCTGCCGACTCCTGCCCCACTGCCGATAACAGCCTCAATGAAATCCTCGAGTCTCAGACGCTGGAGGTGCAGGATGATCTCGTGCAAGGCAGAGACTCCCCGAAGAAGCCCAAATCGCGCCTGATAACGTGAGTGCCGGTGCACAGGGCTGGCAGCCCCCTCCGTTCCCCCGCGCGCAGGCAGAGCGGCGGTGATGGTGCTCCTGCCCCGTGCCTTCTGAGCGAGCCCGAAACACCAACGTGCACCCCGGGTTCTGCTGTCGCCCCGGTTGTATCCACCCCTTGTCCCGGCGGAGGGGCAGCTCCCCTCTCCCTGCCGTGTTCTGGTCGCTCAGGAGCAGATGGGAGCAGAGGGATGGGTGTCCCGGAGCGGTGCGGGTGCCCTGGGTCCCAGACCGAGCGGGGAGGGCTGGATCGGGATCCGCTTTGCAGGAAATCCCTCTTTGGGATTTCCACCTCTTTGGAAACCCCCTCGGGGCTCCAGCTCGTGGGGTTGAGGTGCCGGTGCCGTGGGGTCACGGAGTCAGAGCAAACACGCGAGGGTTTGTAGGTTTTCTAGAGCTTGCGGGTGCAGGTCTGGGAAATCAGATGCTGCTGGGATGTTTTGCGAGCTGCCACTGAATTTCCTTATTTATAACGGGAGGAGAACGGAGTTAACCAGGCAGATTGTTTGTTGCTTTTATCACATCTGCGCAGGCAGTAGGAAGCTCGTTGGTCCTTGCTGAACTATTTAAGTGCTTAGAAGGGGAAATTTTAGGACCACAGAGTTTGTGGCTGGTTTGATGGTAAAACCAGAACAAGCTGTCACTCTGCTGACGAATTCTCTGGTGGGAAAATTAGAGTGGGTTTTTACAGAAAGAGCAGATAAAACCTAGCGGGCAAAAATAAGGGTACGTCGGATGTTTTTCTCTTGGAAATACTTTGCAGAGTGTTGACACAGATTTTCTAAGAGT